CTCAAGAGCCGTGCGGTCATGAAAGAAACAGCGGGAAGCACCTGAGTCTGGTGTAAAGGTGTGCAGTGCCTCAGTCGACTCAGTAACAGTGGACGCAGACGCACCAGCACCTAGAGCAGCAGCCTCACCAGCACCTGGGGTAGCAGACACTCTAGCACCTAGAGCGGTAGCATCACCAGGTCGAATGCCTGGATCGGGCGGAACACTCAGGTACTGGGCTCCCTCTCCACTAATAGACATCACATACATGGCAGAGAGAATAGCATCAAAGTCTAGCGCAAAGATATCAATGTTTTGTTTCATCAGATCAGCCCAGCGGGGCAGCTCAGTGGCGTCAGGGAACTGAGTACGCCAAGCGTCGTCAAGGCGGGAGAAGTAGCGCTGCGTGGGGTGCGCCCTCCCACACGTTTGACCAGTGCGGTCACCAGTGCGGATGATGTACGTGCAGCTAAGGCCACTACCCCCCCCCTGCCGAGTGTACCACTCACGGAGTTCCTGGGGCGACGGAGAGTGCTGTAGGCTTTGGCCACCACCAGTGCCTCCACGACCACCACCGCCGCCACCACCGCCTCGACCACCTCCTCCCCTGCCGCCGCCGTGTCCACCGCCGCCCCCACCACCGCTCCCGCCCTTGCCACCGCCCCCGCCGTTGCCACCACCACCCCAACCACTGCCGCTAGCACCCCCAGCCCCGCCACCACCCCCACCGCCACCACCACCCCCACCACCGCCTCCCCCGCCGTCACCTCCGCCGCCCTTGCCCCCTTTTCCCTTGCCGCTGCGGCGCCCGCTCGAAGCAGACGCAGCCCCGACCTTCTCAGCACCAAGGAGGTCGACAGCGGAAGCAGAGGCGACAGAGGGAAGAAGAGGGGAAGGGGAACACCCCTCAAAGAAAGGGGTGCGGGGGTCGCCACGAGAGGCACCTACAGCGACGATGCTAGCCTCAGCTGCAAGCAGTTCCTTCTCGAGGAGGGCAATGGTGAGCTCAGTGGGGCAGCGAGCTAGGAAGTGGTCCCTGACAGCACGCAAAGTGTCAGGGAGGCGGGTGACTAGGTGGTAGAGAGTGAGCCAGAGCGGGGGGGGGTTGGTGGCAAGAAACTCGTCGGGCATGGCGGCACGAAAGCAGGCCTCACCAGTACGGAGGTGCGTGATGAGGTCAGCGACTGTGTGGAACGAGGCTAGGTCGGGAAACAAGTAGGGGAGTGAGAGACGGCCTAGCGCAGCAGAGGCAGGTGAGGAGTAGCGGGCAACGACAGCAGTGTACAGTGCCTGTGCAGTCTTGTGCTGTCCAAAGTGCTCGCGCTCGTCTATCGGCAGGGAGTTGCGAATAGCGAAGCGGGCGTGGGCGTCACAAGTCTGCCACTGTGAGCGGGCAGTGCTGTCAGCAGTAGCAGTAGGAGTAGTACTTTCCACTTCTTGACGGCTTCGATCTTCCGTGGGTCCACGTGTACGCCCTCGGCACTCACCATGTGCCCGAGAAACTGCACCTTCTTCAGGGCGAAGTCGCTCTTTGACAGCTTCACGTAGAACTTGTTTTTCCGCAGGATCTCGAACACCTTCCGCAGATGCTCCACGTGCTCCTTCATGTTCTTGGACTAGATGAGGATGTCGTCGAGGTACACCACCACGCATTCGTCCAGCAGGGGTCGTAAGATGTGATTCATCTCCGCCTGAAACGTTGCTGGTGCGTTGCAGAGTCCGAACGGCATCACCAAGTATTCGTAGGAGCCGTATCTGGTACGGAACGCTGTCTTGTGGACGGAGTTGTCTGCCATCTTGATCTGCCAGTAGCCCGATCGTAGGTCCAGTTTCGAAAATAATGTTGCTCCACGCAGTTGATCGAGTAGGTCGTCTATGCGCGGTATGGGATATTTGTTTTTGACTGTCTGTTTGTTCAGTGCGTGGTAGTCGATGCACATCCGTAGACTGCCGTCTGGTTTTGGAGTGAAGAGAACTGGTGCGCCGTAGGGAGAGGTGGATGGGCGGATAAGTTGTCTGTCCAGTAGATACTCTATCTGTTTTTCATGTCTGTCAGTTCAGTTGGACTCAGTCGGTATGGTGCACGTGAGACGGGTTTCGCACCTGGTTCCTCCACGATCTCGTGCTCGTGGGTGCGTGCTGGAGATACGCCTGTGGGTAGGTCGTCGAGCATTATATCCTTGTACTGCTCCAAGACCTCCTCCTCTGCTGCTGCTATAACCAGTGCTAAGTAAACCGTGTTACTCTCGTTCACTGTCCGTTCGAACCGTGCCAGTGTCGTTTCAGGAACGCTCCCTGTATCCGTCAAGCTTCGCAGCTCCACTCGTTTCCCGTTGTTGTAGAGGCACGTTTTGCTGTTGACCCAATCGATCTCGGGGTTGAACTGCTTCAGGAAATCTCGCCCCAAGATAAAATCTAATCCCTTGATGTTCGTGATCGGCAACGTCGGCTTCCACCTCAACGCCCCTATCTGCAGCTGCAGTGTTGACTTTCCGTGGATGGGAAGCTTCGTACCGTCCACCATCGTTGCCGTAAACTGGGTTTCTTCTTAGGAATCTCCAATTTTCTCCAACGTCCCGCGGTCGCACACCGAGTGGGACGCACCACTGTCCACCAGGGTCTGGAGGCGACGCCCGTTGCAGATCACCTCAAGTACTAGTGGTTGCTGCGGCTCCGAGTGTCCGTAGATGGTATCGCTTATAGGATCGTAGGGTACGTCGAGTATGTTATCCCTAGGTCGTGCGCTCAAAGATGCAGCTTCAGTATCAGTTTTCAACTGAGAAAGGTTAGAAGGATTTATCCGAGGCCGATTCGGCTTCTCTTGGGCCTGGAACCTTCCACTAAGCCTTTGCAGCTGTGTAGGCTTCATCTGTGGGGAACAGGGAGCCTTTAAACAGTGCTGCTGGGAGAGAATATTAACTCCTCGGAACGCTCGACCCGTATTAGCGCTCTGGAGTAGGGTCCCCATAATACCCGGTACCGGTTTAATTTCTGACTCTCCCTTAATAAAGGCTTGAAACCCACGAGAAGTAATATTCTTACTTGTCGGGGTATACGGCTGGAGTTTCCCGGTCGGTGCAGGGTCTTGTTTCGCGGATCCTCCATTAGTCTCGGCGATTTCCCCTGGTGCCGGCTGGTCGTGACGTTTTAAATTTGCGCCACCATATTCTCCTTTTTTCGCCCTCTCCGAAGTTGCCACGTTGTCCGTTTTCTGCTTCGGGGGTGCCTCACTGTTCTTGTCCTTCAGCTGCGCACACCTTCTCTTCATTTTCCAACACGCCAAGATACGATGTCATGTAGCGCCGCAAAATTTGCACGTCTCATTATTTGCTAGCCGCTGCTCCACATTGCCCTCGTCGTTCTCCATCATGTCGGCAGTTGTGGGTGGTGCCAATCGCCCCATGCCACTAGTTGGCTTGTTGCGTCGTGTTCCGTAGTAGCTACTGTTCAACGTGTCGAACTGTTCGATCAGTGCTGCCGGAACCTGCGCCCACGTCCCCTCGCCTTGGACTATTCTGTTGTTGATCCACTCTAGAGCTGGGCCTCGTAACAGTGTTGCTGCGAGCCGTATGCGCATTGCGTCTTTTGTCGGGGTCGTGCATCTAACGGCTTCGAAGTAAATTTCGAGTTCAGCTACAAATCGACGAACGTCGTTCCTTTTTACTGTAGGATCGAACGCCTCCGGTAGCCTCAGCTTCACTGCTTCGAGGTTAACTGTAGCTGCCGCCGTTGTCGCATGTAGAATTGTCGGTGTAGCCGCTGCTGCTGCTGCTACTGTTGTCGCTGCTGCTGTGGCGGTTGCCGACTGGTTCGCAAGGAGTTTTTCGAGTTGTGGGAGCGCTGCACGTATTTGCTTATGCTCAGCACGTAACTCCGCGATCTTCTGTACTGAAATATCTCTTTTTTCCCTCCATTTGGCGATTTACAGGAAGATGCGCGACGAAACAAATCGAATTCTAGGTGCTGGTCGACTTACTGCGAGTCAAATTGAATGTAGAATTGACGAGCGCGAATTCTGTAGGTTGCGTAAATCTCCCTTAGGCGAAATTCGCGTCCGATCTTGGCCGTTGAGGAGAAAATCGATCCGACGTTCCAAATTCCAACTTTTTTGGGCGAAATTCTCTGGGCCGTTGAGATGAAACTCGATCGAACGGTCGAAACTCCAACCTTTCCACCAGTAAATCTGAGGGGTGTTCGAAAACCGAATCGAGGGGGACTTAGAAAAATTGCGCGGAACTGGTTTGACATACCCGTATCGGCGCTTTCGTCGTCGCCCCCGCGGTTTTTAAAGGCCGGAACTAAGCGGTTGAAGACCTCGCGTGTAAACCCGCTCTGATTACCAAGTGTGAGGGTCTGGGATCGAGCTCAGAAAAGATGATTCAAATTGAATTGAATGATCACATGGGTACAGCACGAGGCTCTATATAGGCTCGACACAAGGCCCCGTAACCACGTGTTACGCGAAGGTTTCGCGGGTCGCGAAGCGTCCCGAACAGATCCTTACCGAATTCGGTAGAAGGCAATTCGGTGGCAACCGAAAAGCCAGAATTCGGTGCACGCAACCTAGCTCGGTGCTATAACTATAATAAAATATAGGATAGCACCTAGCCTAGGAAATCAAGCAATTCATGCATGCATATGATTATCCTATGCTAGAAATAGCATGATAAAGTAGAGGCAAGCAAGCATAGCTGGCATAAGCCGTCGTACTCTCACACACCTGCCCCCGGGCCCTGAAGGGATGTGAAACGGGCCAAGGTAGCATCGTCACGAGCCAAGCGGCGCAGTGCCTAGAGCTCCTCTACAGCTAACTGCCGCTGACGCGCCTGGAAAAGCCGAACAGGAGGGGCCTCTACGCACAGAGGTAAGCCCGGTATCTCGTGGCGGATAGTCGCTGGCAGCTGCTCGAGAGCCTTGACAAACCACGGGTCAAGAAACTCTGCCCCTGTCGAAGTGGTGAGGTACTCAGCAAACATCGCCTCCTCACCCGCCACCCCTAACTGTGCAATGTCCCGCGCGGCCTACGCCCACCCGCAAACATAGGACAGTGGGCTCAAAGAGGCCGCCGCCCGGATCCCGAACCCACCGAGACGCACAGGGAGATGCAGCTGCATGCGTGCGCGCCTAGACCGGTCGGGGTCCTGCTCCCAAGTGCCAGGTGGGAAAAGCTGCTCAAAGCAATCCTCTAAACAGCTGTCCCAATCCCTAAAAGCCTCAACCACCTCCGGACGCGGCGGCATAGTCCGGGCGAGGTACATCGGCCGCGCTGAAATTGCAATGGCGAGGAGGTGTGAAGCCATCTGGGGGTGGTCGAGCAAGGGGAGCCATGGCAGTGGCGCTTGCAACTGTCGAAGCCGCTCCCGTAGTCGGACCACCTCCCAAACCTCCTCTCCAATAGGCACGCCCACCACAGTAAGACCCTCATCCACCCGCTGCATCCCCAATGGCAGTGCCCGCTCCACCTCCTTGCCCATGCGCTCCCAAAACCGGCACTTGTGCGCCTGCACCTCCAGCCCTACCCACTCCAACCGCTCCCGCAGCACCCCAAAAGCCTCCAGAATCCTAGCCGCTGGCCCCAAAATCTAGGTATCGTCTGCATAGCTGAGGAAAAGCAGGTCCTTGAACTCCCTAGTAACCGGCTCCATCACCTGCTGCTGCATGAACGCGAAAAGAAAAGGGCCGAGCGGGTCCCCCTGCCTCGATCCCCGTGCTGACTCGAGGCTCTGTACGAAAGGGCCCGCTCGGAGGTACAGGTCGCTAGGTGTCCCATAAAAGACACGCAAGAATGGGATCATCCCTGAGAAAGGCGACTCCCGCAGGCCATCGAACATCACATGACCGTGAAACGAATTGAAGGCGTTTGCGACGTCTATTTGTAGCACACACCAGTCGGGGTGAGTGCCCAGCGCTGACCGGAAAGAATGAGTGAGAATCTCCGCCCCGACCCCGGTGCCCGCTCGCAGCTGGTTGCACGGCAGGAAGTAGGAAACCATCGCAGGGCGGAGCGAGATGCAGAGAGCTCGAGCAAGGATACGAGGAAGCACCTCCCCGATCGCCACCGGCCGGACGTCGCCGTTAGGCTTGGAAAGCCCGACTAGGTTGGATGCGGCGAGCCACGGCCGAGCCCGCTCGGAGACCTGTCCCGCCACCCATTGGTTGAACACTTCCAACAGGTGGGAGAGGCAGGTAGGTTCAGTGAGGAAGGTGTCGCGCAGATGCTCTGTGACCCACCCCGATGGCCCTGCTGCTAAGGCTCGAGCGGCTGTATGGATAGCTCTGGCCAGGATGTCGGTCGTGAGTGAAGGCCGCTGAGCGGTATCGATGGTGAAATCGCGGACCCACTGTGGTACCTCGCCTGCGCTAGCCGAGTGCTTCTCTCGCAGCGACTGCACCATGACCTCAGACGGTCGAGCCAACTCCCCTGCTGTAAGGCAGGCCAATCCTCGGCTCCACTCCCCCACTTTGCACCGAGATCGGCACCGTGACAGGCGGATGGCATCCGGGTCATGGTCAGAGCGAGTGTAGGAAAGTGGGCGAACTGCTGGCCGCGCTGCCGCCATGGCAGAGTCGAACAGCTCCCGCCACCTCCCCTCCCAGAATGCACCCAACCGCTCTGTGATCAGCGCCTTCTGACCTATGCCTGGCTTGGGAGGCATGGCTAGGATGAGGCGCGGAAACGCCAAGAGTAGGAGGGTAGCGGCTTCATCTCCCGGCTGGCTCTTCAAGCGCTTAAGGATGCAACAGAGCGCGTCTAAGACCCCCGACCTGGCCCGCTGCGGGATCCGGCGAACTGTCCTCCCTCCAACCGCCTCCACACTGAAAAATGTTTCCCATTCCCATGACGTAACCACAGCCCACGCCTCGTCCCCAAATTCCCGCGGCGCCGATCGCTTCTGCGTGTCGGTCTCCACCAGAGACGGAATCGAGCCGAGAGCCTGTGCACGCCTCTCCGCCTCAGCCGCTCGGCACACCCTCATGTGGTTCGCAGCGGCCCCCCGCGTAGCGAAAGTGTGGAAACACGTGTCGCACGGGAAGCGGGGGCATGGGGAAGGCGGCATGGGAGGTTCTTCGTCCGCCTCTTACTCCTCCGCAGTCGCCATGGGGGTATCAAGCTCCAGAAGTCGACACCACTCCTCCAACTGTCCTCCAATGTCACCACCCCCCCCCCCCCCCCCCCCGACTTCTTAGAGACCTTTGCCACCGCAAACTTCACCTCATCATGCACCCAAGAAGGACCATGCTGGTGCCTGCATCTCAGGGCATGGTGCGGGTCTGCTGGGTCAACATACGCTGTGCCACAAACACACCTCCCCGCCACCTACAACTGCTGAATTGGGAGGCCGAGCCGTGTAGCAGCAGCAATGCCCCACTCAGCCGCAGTGAATGTGAGATCTGAGTGAGCCGGAACCGCCGAAACCCATGCACCTGCCCCCGGGCCCTGAAGGGATGTGAAACGGGCCAAGGTAGCATCGTCATGGTCATTCTCGTATGTGTGGTGGAGCACTCCCGCCACATCGGACCAGCGCATCTCATCCATCCAATCTCTATAGTCTCGGTGAGGAGCACCTCCAAAAGCTGGGGTAACTGCATGGGACTTTGCGGTGCACATCAATTGGAACCATCCATCCTAGAAAGATGGTCAGAGGAGGTACCCTTAGCACCAGCGTATCCGCACATTCTTGCTGATAGCAGCCGTATTTTACCATTGTGCAACAAAATGAACCTCTTTGAATCGAAGAAAAAACGAAACAAACAAAAGTGAGGTGAGGTGACGCACTTCTAATGGGCATATCACATTTCCCGTGCTGCACATTAGGCCAGAGCTGGTTCACAAGACATCATCAACACTAGGCAGCTAGAGACGAGTGCAGTCGAGTTCAAGTGACGAGTGCAGTCGAGTTCAAGTGACGAGTGCAGTCGAGTTCAAGTGACGAGTGCAGTCGAGTTCAAGTGACGAGTGCAGTCGAGTTCAAGTGACGAGTGCAGTCGAGTTCAAGTGACGAGTGCAAATGCATGGTTCTCGTATTGAATACATAGCCTTGAAGTACATGATTACCACTTGCGAAGCAGGAGCTTGAGAAATTACATTCTCCATGGCACACCCTACTGGCGAAGTGAGGGAGCACGACGAGCGAAGGGAGGAGAAGAGACAGAAGAGCAATGCTGGCCCAGAAGGCAAGGGCTCGCGACGCAGAAACCCATTGCTCACCTCATTTTCACACTTTAAACAAAAAGTACATGGTTTTCACCTCCCTGCTTTCATAACTTCTAAAAAAAAAAACATTTGACAGTTTGTGTAAGCTCTCCTATCAATTCCGTGTCAGATAGTTCCTCCACCCTCCACCTCCTCCTGTTATCTCCATCCTATTTCCCTCCTGCTTTTTCTTCTTCACGAGCTATGCGCGCACTGCGAAACAATTAGCTCGCACATCAACGTTAATTCCTATCCGTTCCATCTCGCACCATTTTTTTCCGTCGCTTCCTCTGTCTTTTCTCCGTGATTCATGCTGGATAAACTCTCATAAAGTGAGATCGTATAGTAGAGTAGATAAACACGCAACTCCGCTACGTCATTCTCATTCTTTGCATCATAGACTCTTTTAAGCGTTGGTGAGGTGGGCATTAGGAGAGCTGCTCGAACGGAGCATTTCTCGGATATGGGATTCTTAGAACAGGTGCACCATCAAATTCGTCGCACTATTTAAATCATGCGTTCGATCTTAAATTCCTAGAGCAGATTAGTCCTCAAACAACCTTCCGGTGCCTCCATTCCTTCGCCCTTGTCTCTCTCTACAGGCTGACCACCCCATCGCGTTGGTATACAACGAGCTGCACCCGCAGTGGATCAAGAGCGTCGAATCCTTCCTTCGCCGGCACGGCCTCAGGTCCCTCGCCCTCACCTTCACGGGCAAGGACCAGCTCAGATACCTTGACTCGCCACTCAAGGAGCACCTCAGGTACCTTGATCCGCCACTCTGCCGGCCCTTTACCTCCCTCACCTCCCTCAGTCTCAAGCTGCGCGGCACTGTCGCCGACAAATCCGACAACTATGACTACCGTTACAAAAAACATAAGGAAATTGAGTGGGAAGAGGAGCGGGAGAAGGAATCCTGGACCATCACCTTGGACTGCCCGGCTCTGCAGCGGCTGAAGCTAGGCCGGGGCAAGTGGGGACTCGAGGAAGGCTGGGCTGAGCAGTTCAAGTCGCTGCGCAGTCTGACTCTCAAGCACATGGATTGGAGCTACGTGGATCTTGATTATCTCGCCACGCTCACGCCGCAACTCTCGGAGTTCGTTCTCTATCATAGCTGGGATTTTAACCGCCCATCATCAGGCCCCGGTGGCGACGAAACATTCACTTTCGACTTATCAAAAGCCCAAACCGTCCGCTTTTACTTCCCCCACAGCACCCTCACTCTCTCCCTCGCACGCTCTTCTTCGCTCACAACCTTCACGGCGATGGGGAAACAACTCTTGCTCTCGTGCAAGAGCACAGAACCCCTCACTCTCCAGCACCTCTTGCTGTACGGCCAGCAGCGGCTTGTCATCTCCTCCCTCCGCCTCGCTTCCGTACGAGTTGCCTACCTCAACGGCCCTCCCAAAGACGTGCACCCACGCGATGACAAATTCTCTTCCTACCTGGACTTTCCTGAATTGTCCCTTCAGTTTTTACCTGAACTTTCGCCTGACAGGGAGAGCGTGCACAACTCTACTGCATTTTCCTGGGCTGAATGGCTGCGCAGTATAGCGCCAACAGTGGAGGTGCTTATAATGAGGCATGGGGTGCCTGTAGAGGGGGTTGATGCGGAGTGGAGCAACCTGCGCAGCCTTGGGATTGTCGTGGAGAGAGAGGAGCTGTTTGAGGTGGATTTGAAGGTTGAGAAGCGTCGGGATGATGGAGAGAGGGAGGTCACAGTGGAGGAGTTTCTGCCACAGCAGCGGCAGCAGCAGCGGGAGCACTTGCAGCAGCAAATTTCAAAGCAGCAAGCTTTACAGCAGCAGCTTTTGCAGCAGCAGCAGCAACCGCAGCAGCAGCAGCGGCAGCAGCAGCGGCAGAGGCAGCGGCCGCGGCAGCGGCAGCAGCAGCAGCGGCAGTTGCAGCCGCAGCAGCTTTTACAGCAGTAGCAACGTTTGCAGCAGCTGATTTTGCAGCAGCAAAGTTTGCAGCAGCAGCTTTTGCAGCAACAGCAGCAGCAGCAGCAGCAGCAGCAGCAGCAGCAGGAGGAGGAGGGGGAGGAGGAGCAGGAGGGGCAGCAACAAGAAGTAAGACCTCCGTTTATCTTGGCTCCAAACTTGATAGCAATCTTCTTCCCCACCAGCACATGCGAGGAGCGAACCCTTTCTTCCCTCCGCGAATTTTGTCCCTCTCTCGCCCCGTACTGCATCTCACATCGCTCGTTCTACTGGGAGAAGCAGGGGAGGGAGTTGCCTGAGACCCCTGTGGTGCATGTGAGGGACGCGAAAAGTGGGGTGCCATGCGCTTGCTTTGCAGAGAAGCGGCCGAAGAACGTGAGGGAGAAGATGCACTGTGTGAATGGAGAGCTGGTGGATGGGTATAGTATTTATAAAGAAGAGGCTTATATGTGGAAGTACAAAGGGAGCCAGTGGAGCAGATACTGAGGGGTGACTCTTGAGTCGACTAGAAAATCACTTAAGTACAGTGTTTATGTGGATGAGGCTTATACGTACAAAGGGATCCTGTGTTGACTGGTAGAACAAAGGGATTCTGTGCTGACTGGAAGTACAAAAGGAGCTGGAGCGTGATGTGCTGGTGGCGTGTGCAAAGAGGGTGCTCCTGGATGGGATGAGTCAGAGCAGTAGCTCTAGCAGTGGCAGTAGAGGAGTAGCGGTGGCAGCAGTGGTGGCTCTCATAACTTAGGCTTAGAAGCGATACATTAGTAATGAGCTTGAAGCTCTTTAAGTACATCCAAGAAGGGGAGGGAATGGATGGGGAAGGGAATCGGGGGCAATCCATATGGATTGGGGGTAATCCCAAGGCAATCTCCAATTGGTGGGTTGGAGATTGCTTGGAGATTACATTTGGGTTTGGTTGGGATGTAGGTGTACACCCAACCAAACACAATGTGCAAACTACACTACTCTAGGATATAGAAAATACCAAGTACTAAGTGTGAGATTGAAGGCTAACACTAACAGTGGCAGCAGCGGTGGTAGCAGGGCGTTTTACGCGCCGGTGGTGACGCCGTTTGAGGCGCTGATGGCGCTGGAAGAAGGGGAGTGGACGGGGGAGTATCGGATGCTGCTGGATGGTGCTGGGGTGGGGGGGAAGGAAGAGGAGGCGCGGTCAGGATCTGAGTTCCTGGCGCTTCGGTGTGACTATAAGGGGCTGGAGGTGCTGTGGTTCATGGAACCTGGTGGGGCGCCTAGTGGGATGGCTGGAAAAGTGCAATCAGGGAGTGGAGTACCGAGTAGTCAGGGAAGCAGAAACGCGGATGGGAGAGGGGGAGGGGATGAGGGAGGAAGAGGGGATGGGGGAGGGGTGGGTGCTTTCATGCTGAAAGTGGCTCTGGCGATTGATGCGGTGAGAGTGGTGGAGGGGAAGGAGGGCCGTGCTGCAGGGTATGAGGATGAGCTGCTGCAGGGTTAGTGAAGGATTGTAGGAGGGGCGGGTGTTGATTCGTGTGACTATAAGGGGCTGGATGTGCCCTGGTTCATGGGGCCTGGTGAGGCCGTGGTGGAGGGGGTGGGAAGTCCGTGCTGCAAGGGTATGTGGATGAGACACAGCATGGAAAGGGGAGGACGAGCGGAGGGACGAGTGTTGGTGCTTGCCAATGGAAGGCTGAGTAAGGGCGGGGTGGGTGAAGGAGAAGCAGGAAATGGTAGAGAATGAGGGGTTTTGTTTGATGTTACGACAAAGTGGGAACTTTCGTTTATATCTGTAGCTTCAGAAACGTCATTTACCTAGGTTTGAGTATGTTGAAGTGCAGTTGATATTGGTACCACATGAGTGACATTATCTGTATGAGTGCATTGCGTTGTTCATAACGCTCGCAACTTGTATCGAAGCCTCTCCCTCGATCTTGTCACTCCATTCCCAACCTCCGCACCCCAGTTCCTCGTCGACTCAGGAAAAACGTTCCAAAACCTCTCGGAACCGCTCTCCAACCCACTTCACCCTTCCCAGTCTATGCAGCAATATTTTGCATTTGTACTCTATGAACGAAAATGACTCCCCCCTCCACATGTCGCATTTTCAGTGTTGGGCAATGTGTCAGACAAGCCGTTTGAACAGCCAGCGACTGAATACCATGCACCTATTGTCGTAATGACCATGGTGCGCTCGAGTCTAAATGACGAGTATATGACCACGCATGATATATGTATTTAACTCATAGCATCTTCTTACCATCGGCATATTGGCGAATTTTAATCTCCATGGCATCACTGCAGCCTACTTGCGAATTGAGAGACCGCGCCGAGCGACGGGAAGAGAAGAGACAGAGGAACAATGCTGACCCAGAAGGCAAGGACGGTTATTGTTTCGCGACGCAGGGTCCCATTTTTTACCTTGTCTTATCACTCCGAATAAAAAGCACGTAGACTTCTCCTCCCTGCTGAGATGACTTCTCTTAACAAAACATATAAGAGTTTGAGTAAACTCTCCCAGGCATTTCTTCTAAGTTTGTTCCTCTCCCCTCCAACTCCTTCTATTCTCTCCGTTCTCTGATAATTTCACTCCTGCTCTTGCTTCCTCACGAGCTATACACGCACTGCGAAACAACTAGCTAGCACCACAGCAATTTCTCTCCTCGTGTAATTCTTATCCCTTCTGCCAATCGCCGTTAAATTCCTATCCGTTTTACCCTCCACCACTTTCTTACGTCGTTTCCTTCCTCTCCTCCTCTCTGTCATTCATACTGGAAAGAGTTTCAGAAAAATTAATCGTGGGGCAGATAGACTAGAAATTCAGCTACTTCATTTTTCACTAAAATTTTCACCATGGGGTCTTTTTAGTGTTGGTGAGGTGGCCGTTACGAGAGTTGCTCGAACCGAGCACTCTGCGTGCTTGAAAGGAAATGCTTAGACAGGGAACTCTGTGAAAATGCTCATTCCTTAGGCGCCACTTCGCCAGTAGCGCCTAAAAAATAAGCTCGCTCCAATCCAAAGCCTCTCGAGAGTGCTCTCGCCGTCCAGACCTATTTTCTCGGACAGCACAGCCGTGAAGAAACGAGCGACGAATAAACTCTGAACTGAAGAAGTAACAGCTCCATTCCAAATAATTCCCCTTATTCTTTCCCCCATCAATCCCCCCCACCAACATCACACACATCTCTCCTTCCAGCTGCCATCCCCAGTGATCCCATAGACATGCTGCCGGCGTATCTCTGGCACAAAGTCTTCCGCTACCTGCTGCTGCCACCTGGCTCCTCTTACCCTGAAACTCCCCTTGTCCGGGGCAGGCGAAAGTTTCCATGGTATCTCGCCACTACGGAACAACCCATAACGGACAGGAATCTGCCTGTGAGATTTGTGGACCCTGATTTCTCAGCAGCCGGGCAGCACTGGAAGAACGCGAGGAGCTATGGCAGTGGGTGGGCGCTGCTGTGCTGCGCCATGGCCAGCAAGAGGCTTCTCGCCCTCGTGCTCTCCTTCTCCGTGAGTCATGCTCTGCTCTGCTCTGCTTGCTCTGCACTTGCTCTCCTTGGCATCAAAACACATGCCCTTTCCATGCCTTGAACATGAGTTTCAGGTCCTGATTGGTAGTAAAGCAGATGCCAAAACATCCTATCTCACTACTCCAATCTAAGTCCACTCCTTCCCGTCCCTCATACTCATTTCAGGCGTACCACCCCATCTTCCAGCCAACCAGCATTCACATTCTCTCCTTCAATCCCTCTCCGCAGGCTAACCACCCCATCGCCTACGTTTGCAACGAGCTGCACCCGCGGTGGATCAAAAGCGTCGCCTACTTCCTGCGCTGTCACGAGCCGTCTTTTTCAATCGACTTAAGAGCAAATGACCAATCCCATCCGTCCCTCTCTACAGGCCCACCACCCCATCGAGCTGGTATACAACGAGCTGCACCCGCAGTGGATCAAGAGCGTCGAATTCTTCCTGCGCCAGCGCCACCGCCTCAGCTCCCTCTCGCTTACCTACACGGACAAGGAGCAGCTTGAAAACCTTGACTCGCCACTCCGCCAGCCCTTTACCTCCCTCACCTCCCTCAGTCACAAGCTGCGCATCTGTGTCGACAAATCCGACAGGTTTGACGACGATCCTTATAAGGATTATAAGGATGAAGAGGATGAGGATTCCTGGACCCACTCCTTGAACTGCCCAGGCCTGCAGCGGCTGAAGCTTGGCCGAGGCAAGTGGAGTCTCCAGGAAGGCTGGGCTGAGCGCTTCAAGTCGCTGCGCAGCTTGACTCTCAAGCACATGGATTGGAGCTACGTGGATCTTAAGTATCTTGGCACGGTCACACCGCGGCTCACGGAGTTCGTTCTCTACCATAGCTGGGATTTGGACCCCCGAACCTCAGGCCTGGGTGTTGGTGGCACATTCGCTTTTGACTTATCGAAGGCTCAAACCGTCCGCTTTTATTTCCCGCATAGCAGCCTCACACTCTCCCTCACACTCTCTCACTCGCTCACGATTTTCTCAGCCATGGCGAAACAGCTTGTTCTCTCCTGCAATAGCACGAAACCTCTCACTCTCCAACACCTCTTGCTGTACGGCCAGAAGCGGCTTGTCATTTCCTCCTTCCGCCTCGCTTCCGTGCGAGTTGCCTACCTCAACGGCCCTCCCAAAGACCACCACTCTCGCAATGATGAATATTCTTCCTACCTGGACTCTCCTGCGTTGTCACCTGAACGTTCACCTGAAATTTCTGCATTTTCCTGGGCTGAATGGCCTGCCCCTATAGCGCCAACAGTGGAGGTGCTTATTGTGAGGCATGGGGTGCCTGTAGAGGGGGTTGACGCGGAGTGGAGCAGCCTGCGCAGCCTTGGGATTGTCGTGGAGAGAGAGGAGCGGTTTGAGGTGGATTTGAAGGTTGAGAGGCGACGGGATGATGGTGAGGAGGTTACAGTGGAGGATTTTCAGGAGCGCAACCAGAGGTTTCTGCAGCAGCAGCAGCAGCAGCAGCAGCGGTGGCGTCAGGAGGAGGAGGAAGAGCAGCAGGAGGGGCAGCAGCAAGAACGAAGACCTCCGTTTATCTTGGCTCCAAACTTGCAAGCGATCTTCTTCCCCACCCACGCATGCGAGCAGCAAACCCTTGCTTCCCTTCGCAAACTCTGTCCCTCTCTCGCCCTGTACTGTATCTCACGTCGCTCGTTCTACTGGGAGAAGCAGCGGAAGCAGTTGCCAGAGACCCCTGTGGTGCATGTGAGGAAGGCGAGAAGCGGGGTGCCATGCGCCTGCTTTGCGGAAAGGCGGCCGAAGAATGTGCGGGAGAAGATGCACAGCGTGAATAGAAAGCTGGTTGATGGGTACAGTGTTGATAAAGAAGAGGCTTACATGTGGAAGTACAAAGGGAGGCTGTGGAGCAGTCACTGAGGGTCGACTCTCGAGTCGATTAGGAAATCATTCAGGTACAGTGTTGATGTGGATGAGGCTTATACGTGGAGGTACAAAAAGATTGACTGGTAGAACAAAGGGATCCTGTGTTGACTGGTAGAACAAAGGGATCCTGTGTTGACTGGAAGTACAAAGGGAGCCGGAGTGTGATGTGCTGGTGGCGTGTGCGGAGGGCGGTGCTGCTGGATGGGATGGGTCAGGGCAGTAGCGCTACCAGTGGCAGTAGCGGGAGTAGCGGTGGCAGCAGCGGTGGCAGCAGGGCGTTTTATGCGCCGGTGGTGACGCCGTTTGAGGCACTGATGGCGTTGGAGGAAGGGCGGGAGTGGACGGGGGAGTATCGGATGCTGCTGGGGTGGGGGGGCAGGAAGAGGAGGAGCGGTGGGGAAGGGAGAAGCAGGGTCAGAAGAAGGAAATGGGGAAGGTGGGAATGACGTGGCTCTGCGATTTTCCTTTGTGAAAGGATCGCTGGTATCCTCCGTCCCTCACAAACCATCATCTGCAGCACCATCAGCAGCTTCAGCAGCAAAAACCGCAGCAGAATCAGATCAATCAGATTCGGCCATCTGGCAGGACATGGCTCTGTCTGCTGTGCCCTGGTTCATGGCACCTGGTGGGACTCCCCGGGAAGGGAGAGGGATGAAGGAAGGGGAGAGGATGAGGGAGGAAGAGAGGTTGGGGGAGGGGTGGGTGCTTTCATGCCGAGAGTGGCTCCTGAGATTGATGCTGTGAGGGTGGTGGAGGGGCGGGAGGGCCGTGCTTGCAGGGTACCGTATGTGGATGAACTGCAGAAGGGATAGAGAGGGAAGGATGATAGGAGGTGCGGGTGTTGGTGCTTGCTGTGGGAAGGCCGAGCAAGGGCGGGTGAAGGAGAAACAGGGGTCGTTAGAGTAAGTTTCCGATGACAAATTGGGGACTCTAATTCATACCTGCTGTTTGAGAAACGTCATTCACCTTGAATTGCGTAAGTGCAGTTGATCCAAGTATGAGTGATATGCATGGTCTCATAGCCTTAATTTTAACGCAAACCACTTGTATCGAATTCGTTCATTCTCTCCCTCTCGTCACATCTGCTCTGCTCCGTCCCGATTCCACTCGGCACCCCAGCTCCCCGTCAACCGAGGCAAAACGCTCCAAACTCTCGCCATCGTTCTCAAACCCACTCCACCCCTCCTTGTCAACTATTGGTTCACACAGCGTGACGGCCCGCCATACAAGATTCCAAATTTGGATTATTATGCCAGTCTAGGCAGCAATTTTGTTTAGTAGCTGTGCAATCTAACACGCTGCGGCCTGGTCGTTTCGAAGTTACTGCGATTCGACTACAGCCAGTGCCCCCCGGTGCAGCAGGGGGGAGAAAAACTCTCGTGTTCACGCGCTTGCCGTTTCTTGTAGACTCATTGTTTTGAGGCAAGGCATTCGTCGCCGCCCACTGTCCATCTATTCATCTGGCTCTCTGCTTGCTCTCCTTCCGCCCGTGCCTGCTTGCGCACGTCCCTGTCCCCTCCCCACTGACGCCATGGGCGGTCCCGCGGACGGGCTAGGGCTCGGCGCGGAGGTCAACGGGGGCGCGGAGTCCGTCGCGGATCTCCTCGCGCTTCCCCCTGACGCCCTTCCGCGGAGCGACCTTTTCTTCCGCCTTGCGCGCGCGCATTTCCGCGCAGCTGTATCCGCCTCCGCGGGTGGCCCCACCAACCCCGCGGACCCCGCAAGCTCCCCCGCGGGTGGCGCAAATGACACTGCGGGAGGCGGGGATATTAACGACAATAGTAGCGACGAGGCGCTCGCTTTAGACGTTGTCCGAAACGCGATTCAGCCTTCCGAGCGGCCCGACCACGTTCCGTCTCTTATTCTTGCGTCCGTGATTTGCGCGCGGCGTGACACGTGGAGCGAAGAGGGCGTGCGCTACGGCGAACGCGCCGTCGAGCTCGCTGCCAGCAGCGGCCCGCAGCGCGCTAAGGCGCTCCACGCGTTGGGAGTTAATCTCCTGCTACACTCGCGCAACCATTATATTTCCGCGGCTCGGCGTGACCAGAGTCTAAAGCGCGCCGTTGAGTCGCTAACCCAGGCGTCAGAAGAAGATGCCACGTCAGCAGCTATAATGGTGGATCTCGCGCTCGCGTTGGCCGAGCAGCGCCACGTCAGCGAGGCGCTGAAGGTCGCGAAGCGCGCGCTGAAAGCCGGCGGCGGACAGTGGCTGCTGGCGTGGCAATTACTTGCGCTGCTGCTGACGTGTCAGCAGCGATTCAAAGACGCGGAGGATATGTGCCGCGTGGGGGAAGCCGCCATGAAGAAAGCGGGGGGCGCGGGGGGAGGGGGAGCGGATGGGGGGGAGAAAGGGGAGGGCGCAAGGGCAGCGCTGCTGTTGCTGCATGCCAAAGTGCATTTAGCGAGCGGGGGAGTGGGGGGAGAAGGGGGGGAAGGGGAAGGCGGAGGCGGGGCGGGTGGTGGTGGTGGTGTGAGTGCAGGCGTTGGTGAGGCTGTGGAGAGCTTGAAGGCAGCCATGGCGGCTGTACAGTCACGACAGAAGCGAGGCGACATGGTGAGAGGAGGAGTAGGGAGGGAGGGAGGGAAGGAGAGATTTAGGGAAGAGGTTGGTGAGGCTGTGGATAGCTTGAAACAAGCCATGGCGGCTGTACAGTCACGTCAGAAGCGAGGCTACAAGGTGAGAGGAGGAGTAGGGAAGGAGGGAGGGAAGGAGAGCTTTAGGGAAGAGGTTGGTGAGGCTGTGGATAGCTTGAAACAAGCCATGGCGGCTGTACAGTCACGTCAGAAGCGAGGCTACAAGGTGAGAGGAGGAGTAGGGAAGGAGGGAGGGAAGGAGAGCTTTAGGGAAGAGGTTGGTGAGGCTGTGGATAGCTTGAAACAAGCCATGGCGGCTGTACAGTCACGTCAGAAGCGAGGCGACATGGTGAGAGCAGGGCAGGAGCGAGGGAGGGAAGGAGTGAGGGAGGAGGGGAGGGGTAAAGATAGTTAAGGCAGTAGTGCAGTGTAGGCTTTGGTGAGGCTGTAGAGAGTTTAAAGCAAGCCATGGCGGCTGTACAGGCACGGCAGAAGCGAGGTGACATGGTGAGCGCAGGGCGGGAGGGTGGGAGGGAAGGAGTGAGGGAAGGGGGAAGGGATGGAGGGGGGAGGGCGTATAGTCAGTGTGGTAGTGTGGGTGATTGAAGCATATCCAGCTGCTGAAGCATGGTACACTGCATGGTGTCTAGCATGGTACACTGCATGGTGTCTAGCATGGTATACTGCATGGTGTCTAGCATGGTACACTGCATGGTGTCTAGCATGGTACACTGCATGGTGTCTAGCATGGTACACTGCATTGTGTCTAGTATGGTACACTGCATGGTGTCTAGCATGGTACACTGCATGGTGTCTAGCATGGTACACTGCATGGTGTCTAGCATGGTACACTGCATGGTGTCTAGCATGGTACACTGCATGTTGTCTAGCATGGTACACTGCATGGTGTCTAGCATGGTACACTGCATGGTGTCTAGCATGGTACACTGCATGGTGTCAAGCATGGTACACTGCATGGTGTCTAGCATGGTACACTGCATGGTGTCTAGCATGGTACACTGCATGGTGTCTAGCATGGTACACTGCATGGTGTCTAGCATGGTACACTGCATGGTGTCTAGCATGGTACACTGCATGGTGTCTAGCATGGTACACTGCATGGTGTCTAGCATGGTACACTGCATGGTGTCTAGCATGTACACTGCATGGTGGTGTCTAGCATGGTACACTGCATGGTGTCTAGCATGGTACACTGCATGGTGTCTAGCATGGTACACTGCATGGTGTCTAGCATGGTACACTGCATGGTGTCTAGCATGGTACACTGCATGGTGTCTAGCATGGTACCCTGCATGGTGTCTAGCATGGTACACTGCATGGTGTCTAGCATGGTACACTGCATCGTGTCTAGCATGGTACACTGCATCGTGTCTAGCATGGTACACTGCATGGTGTCTAGCATGGTACACTGCATGGTGTCTAGCATGGTACACTGCATGGTGTCTAGCATGGTACACTGCATGGTGTCTAGCATTGTACACTGCATCTTGTCTAGCATGATACACTGCATCGTGTCTTGCATGGTACACTGCATCGTGTCTAGCATGGTACACTGCATGGTGTCTAGCATGGTACACTGCATGGTGTCTAGCATGGTACACTGCATGGTGTCTAGCATGGTACACTGCATGGTGTCTAGCATGGTACACTGCATGTTGTCTAGCATGGTACACTGCATGGTGTCTAGCATGGTACACTGCATGGTGTCTAGCATGGTACACTGCATGGTGTCAAGCATGGTACACTGCATGGTGTCTAGCATGGTACACTGCATGGTGTCTAGCATGGTACACTGCATGGTGTCTAGCATGGTACACTGCATGGTGTCTAGCATGGTACACTGCATGGTGTCTAGCATGGTACACTGCATGGTGTCTAGCATGGTACACTGCATGGTGTCTAGCATGGTACACTGCATGGTGTCTAGCATGGTACACTGCATGGTGTCTAGCATGTACACTGCATGGTGTCTAGCATGGTACACTGCATGGTGTCTAGCATGGTACACTGCATGGTGTCTAGCATGTACACTGCATGGTGTCTAGCATGGTACACTGCATGGTGTCTAGCATGGTACACTGCATGGTGTCTAGCATGGTACACTGCATGGTGTCTAGCATGGTACACTGCATGGTGTCTAGCATGGTACACTGCATTGTGTCTAGCATGGTACACTGCATCGTGTCTAGCATGGTACACTGCATGGTGTCTAGCATGGTACACTGCATGGTGTCTAGCATGGTACACTGCATGGTGTCTAGCATGTACACTGCATGGTGTCTAGCATGGTACACTGCCTGGTGTCTAGCATGGTACACTGCATGGTGTCTAGCATGGTACACTGCATGGTGTCTAGCATGGTACACTGCATGGTGTCTAGCATGGTACACTGCATGGTGTCTAGCATGGTACACTGCATGGTGTCTAGCATGGTACACTGCATGGTGTCTAGCATGGTACACTGCATCGTGTCTAGCATGGTACACTGCATGGTGTCAAGCATTGTACACTGCATGGTGTCTAGCATGGTACACTGCATGGTGTCTAGCATGGTACACTGCATGGTGTCTAGCATGGTACACTGCATGGTGTCGAGCATGGTTGGGGGAAGCATTGCTCATTGCACAGCTGGGTGAATGTTTGGCTTCAAGCATTCAAGCATACATTTTCCCGATCAAACCTCCTCCCCCCACACAGGGCGGCTCAGTGACAGAAGCAGTGGTGTGGCAGTGCCTGGCGGAGGCGTATCTGATTTTTTTAGTTGACTCAAGAAACAAGTGGTGCCAGGCATGTGTTCTCCCGACAAATTCTGTTATGCTTCCTCCCCCCCACACACACAGGGCGGGTCAGTGACAGAGGCAGTGGTGTGGCAGTGCCTGGCGGAGGCATATCTGGCTGGCGGGCGGGCGGCAGATGCCGACCTCTGTGTGGCCAAGTGTCAGACACTGGACCCGTACTCTGCTGACACGTGGATGGTGGCAGGTGAGTCATGGAGGGATGAAGCAAGATGCTGCCCCTGCAAGGCCCTCGCCTTCAACTGCAGCACCTGCCGGTTGACCAAACCCTCTCCGTCTCCCTCCTCACCCTCACATCCTCGCTCTGTCATCCTATTGTCTCTCTCGTACTCTCCTACGCATGCGAGAAAAAAGCGAGACACCACTTTCGTAAGGTCATCTCATGCAACAGCACTGCAATGGCCATCAACCAGTCCTTCTCCCCCTCCTCCTGTCTCACCCTCACACCACACTCCCCCAGGCATGCTAGAAGATGCAAGATCCTGCCCCCAGGATGCCCTGGCCTGCTACTGCAGTGCCCTGGCCATCAACTGCTCGTTCAACCCCTCCCTCCCCACTCCCACATCCTCGCTCTCACACCCTCACTCTCACATGATCATTCACATCCCCACTCTCCCATCCTCTCCCCCTCACTCCCCCAGGCATGCTTGAAGAGGCAAGAGGCTGCCCTGAGGAGGCCCTTGCCTGCTACCGCAGTGCCTTGGCCATCGACCAATGGCACGCTGCCAGCAAGGCACGGCTGGGAGCCCTGCTGCTGCAGATGGGCGGGGAGTGGCTGCACATGGCGCAGGTGTACCTGAGGGAGGTGGTATCTGGTGATGGGTTCGATGCACGTGTGTGGCATGTGCTGGGATTGGTGGAGAGAGGGCGTGGGGATGTGGGAGCTGCTGCCGAGTGTTTCAGGCGAGCTATGGAGGCGGAGGAAACGGCCCCTGCTGTGCCGTTTAATACGCTTAGGCCGATCCTGCCGCAGCTGCTTCTGTAATATGGTAGTGGTCGAGCTCATGTCAAGTTGCGGTAAAGTTCATGCAAAGACCGTTGCAGTAAAGATCATGCAAACTTCTCCCAGCATGCTTTGAAGTTGGTTCGGGCTAAAATTTCTAATGTCTATACATATGATGGAGTAGGCTAAGCGGGCGACCCTACAGGTGAACGCTTATTGTTGTCCAAGGACCAATAATTCCCTTCAGGTGAATGCTTACCGTTGTTGATTTTTTCTAATTGATTGGGATTCGTCGTTTGTAAAGCTTACTATATATGCGAATTGCTGTAACGATACCAGGCTGAGTCTGTTAGATTGCCGCTCGTGTTCACCCAGAAGCATTTATTGTGTCCAGGTTGTCACTTCCGCGGCCGCTACTGGCGAATGAGGTAACAAGAAAATCGCGCGAAAATGGGAACGGCGTGGTTGAGCCGTGTCCACGTCAGTTCCCGATCAGCAGACCTGCCAAGAATCTACTCGTGGCTATTATAGATCTCAGGTCACCCATATTTGCTAGAATACATTATTCAGGATGTTTACACACCGAAGCCTCCATTCACCAGTATATATCCGTAGATGGATTGCAATTCGACTGTAAAAGGTTGTGTAAAAAGATATAATTGGTTTTGTGCAATCCAGCTATTGACTTGGCAAGGTATACAACGCGCCGATATTCTCTTCGGGCCGAAGGCATGCCGGGCACGCGCAGATGGAAAAACACGCAGAGCGGAAGAACCCTGTGTGGGTGGTGTTGAGTTTTCCCAGCCAATCAGGGCGAGGACGCGAGATGCCATGACCCGGCATGAATCCCCCTGTAATCAGCTCGGCCTTCCAGCGTTGAGTGTGTGCGCATGAAGTTCACTTCAGTACGGTTTAGTAAGATTCCTGACAAAACTGATTTTTTGGTCAACCATTGAAATCGGTTGAGTCTGGTTTTGAGGTAAAGGGTTTCATGTTTCGGCTCGAATTTTTCTCGTCAGCCCAAGGCCAACCCTGACAACGGATAACCATTGAAAACGAGTCACGAATAGTCAGGACGTCAGTAGTACCTGCGTTTGTACGGGCTTCCTTCCCAGCTGCTTTATCAACGACGACCTTGTTTGACGACGAACGGATCGGTGGTAACACTCGCGTATGAACCCGGAGCCCGCTGCGCATCGCGCTTCGATAGCTCTGTCTCGTGACTGTCTCGTGCAATCGCCGTCCCAGTCATGGCTCACCGAGTCGCATGCTGCAGCGGAGTAGCAACAACAGCTCCTGTTGGTGCCATTCTCCCGCGCGCCACGTCAGCACGCACTCTGGATCTCCGCCGCTCTCTGCTTTCCGCAACCTTCCCCAGCGCCATCGCTCCGCACATAGCCGCCTCCTTCCCCGGTCGGCGCGCTTCAGCCACCCCCCGCGCGTCTCAGTCTTCTGCCGACGCCGCCACACGCACCACCGGCGCGCATGCGCCTTCGTCCGCCACGAATTCCCCAGAGTCCGCGGAAGCATCCGCGCGGGAGGCTGCCGCACTAGAGGCCGCGGCGGCGCGCGTAATAACCCTCTCGAGCCGCGAAGAATATGATCGGCTGATGGCGGAGGCTAAGAACAAAGGGCGACTCGCTGTAGTCGAGGTTACTATGTCTACCCTCCCCAATACCGACCGGATTTACAATACCCTCGTGGAAACTGCGCGGTTGTTTCCGAACGCGGTGTTCCTGCGCATTTTCGCGGACAAGGGCGCGGAGCTGCGCGGGTTGGCGCAGAGCATGCAGTGCGCGCGCGTGCCGTCGTACGTGCTGTTCCGCGAGGGGCAGCGCGTGCACGAGGACGCGGGGATGGACGCGGAGCGGCTGCGCGCCGAGCTGCTGTACTACTCCGCGGAAGGGCCCGTGCTGGAGGTGCACTCCGCGGAAGAGTTCCGCGCCCTCATTGAGGTAGGGGGGGTTGGGGGAAAGGGGAACGGGAAGAAGAAGGGGATGGGGAAGGGAGGGGGGAGGTGATAGAGATAGGATGAAGGGGAAGGGGATAGGGAGAAGAGTAAGGGAAAAAGAGAGGGGGGAGATGCGCGGGGCTCACGATCTACGTCAACGTGCTGCGCGCGGTGCTGCTGTGCTACTCCGCGGAAGGGCACACTTTGCGGAATAGTTCCGCGCGCTGATTGAGGTGCGGAGAGTGGGGGTAAGGGGAAGGGGAAGGGGAAGGGAGAGAGGGTTGGGGATAGGGGTTGGGGAGAAGGGGGAGATGTGCGGCTCACTATCTACATCAACGTGCTGTACTACTCCGTGGAAGAGTTCTGCGCGCTCACCAGGGGCGTTTGGTGGGGAAGAGGGGGATTGGGGTAAAGGGGGTTTGTGGAAACGGGGAAGCGGGGGAAAAGATTCTGAGAAAACACAGTCTGCACAAGGTCATGGCTTCTGGTCTTAAGACGCCTGGAAACCTGATGGTAAATATTGAGAGCTGTCAGAAGTTTACAGTCACATGCCAGTCCAACTGTGGCAGTACCAATGGTGATGAGATTCAGTCCCCATTCTGTGGCTGGTGCATCACCATTGAGCTCCCACTGAGTTCATCCGCATTTATCTCCCACTGAGCTCCATCTCCCCCTTGCCCCCACAGACGCACAAGGACACGGACATGCTAGTGGTGATCGAAGCAACGCTCACCTTCTGCGGTCCCTGTGTGCGCATCCACCAAACCGTGCTCAACCTCTCCCACCGCATGGCGGGCCACGCCGTCTTCGCCCGCTTCTTTGGGGACTCGGCCGACTGCACTAAAGATTTGATTCGTGAGCTGGGGGTGGTGGAGGCACCCACGTTTCTGTTCTACCGGCGGGGGGAGCTGCTGGGCCGCTATGTGGGGTCGGGCAGAGGGGATTTGGTGGGGGAGATTCTCAAGCACCAAGGGGTGCCCGTGAGCTCGTGAATGACACTCCTTTTTTCGTGCATTTGCGCGCTTCTTTGGCGACTCAGCGGACTGCACAAGGGAGTTGATCCACGACCTGGGGGTGGTGGAGGCACCCACGTTCCTGTTCTACCGGCGGGGAGAGCTGCTGGGGCGCTATGTGGGGTCGGGCAGGGGGGGGGGATGTGGTGGGGGAGATTCTCAAGCACCAGGGGGTGCCCGTGAGCTCATGAGTGGTACTATGCTTTAGGCAGCACATGGGGCTGTTCTGAAGGAGCAGAGCGTTGTTAGAGGGCTCGGGGAAGAGAGCGGGGAAGGGTTAGGGGAGAGATCTGGTGGAGGAGATTATCATGCACCAGGGGGGGCCTGTGAGCTCATGAGTGGAAATTTCAGACAGACGTTTGTTCTGATGAGGAGTGTTAGCATAAGACGAGAAAGGGAACAGGGGGGGCCTGGTGGGGGAGATTCTCAAGTGCCAAGGCACGGGGAAGAGAGGGTGGAAGGGATAAGGGTAGGGATTCGGTGGGGAAGATTCTGATGCAGGGCTGATTTTATCAGGGCAATTACCCTGATTTCAGGGTGATTTCAGGCTTTCCAATTTGTGGATACTGAAATATCAGAGTTAATGAGTTCTCAACCCAGATCCAATCCCTGATTTTGAGTATAGTGTAACAGACTAGCTTGTTAGTGGACCCTGACTTAAAACCCAAGACCTGAATTACAAGAAAAAGAAGGCAAACTGTCACAGTTAGCCTACCAAACCCACAGTTGACCTCCCGAGCCAGGCTGGTTACCAGAAAGGATCGCATACTAAAAACACTGAGTCGTTCAGCAGAGCAGGGTTGGTTGGCGAGAGTCCCAACAACACACTCCACAAGGAACAAACGCTCAAAGTGTGCACAGTTTGCGTACATGGTAATTCAGGTCGTGCTTGTACTCATAGTACTCTTAGATTGTTCGAAGAGACAGAATAAAACGCCAACATAGCATAGGCCACGAGCACTTCCGCCTTCATTACGGGACCCTTAGAACTCCAGGTGTATCTATCCTACGGCCAAAATAGAAACCCCGACGGGATTGGTGGTCGTAGCGTATCGGCATGACAACAACTATGTTAGTGGCGTATCACGTATTCTCACTCGCTCGCCCTGGCATTGCAACCCCGCGGACATCGCATTTGGCCCTCGCCTTCCGCGTTCCCCACGCTTCCCCCCACCGTCTCTCACACACCCCCCCACGCACACCCTCACCGTCGCCCAAGCTCTTCCCCACCGCTGCGAACGCTTCCTCATGCCTTCACCCACGCTTCCCCACACCGTCGCTCACGCCTTCCCCCACCTTCCCTCACGGTGGGAGGCTCATCGCCCTGTTAAGAACTAAGGCAAGAGTGAGTGGATTAGGTAGAGATTAGGGTACAAGACTAAGTGTCGAGGTTGTTTTTGTACCCTCTAAGGCTAACCCCACTACAGCCTACCCAATTATAATCATACAAGTATGTTTGACACACCCCCATAGGCAAAGTGGGGGAGAACAGAGGGTCACAAGACCAGCCAGGAAATGCAAAGCAAGCTCAGGGTGGATCACAACGTCACCACACAGTTAGAGCACATGCAAAAGGCCACAAGGCCAGTTCACAACAACATATAGTGATCACTACCTACCAGAGCAAGCAGGCACGTATATATATTTATATATATATATATATACAAATCACAGTACAAATAAAGCCTACAGCAAGTGGGGAAGAGTGGGCACAAGGCCTAACAAAGTACAGAAACGCTGATGATCACCAGGTGGAAGTGCCTTGGTGAATATATCAGCAGTGTTGGCCCGAGTGGCTACGTAAGCAAGACGAAGCTCGCCACGCTGCTGCAGCTCTCAAGCAAGGAAGCAACGCAGAACGATGTGCTTCGTTCTGTGCTCCAGTCTGTGCTCATGACACAAGGCAATGGCGGCCTTGTTGTCGACGTACAGCACTGGAGGAGAACGAGGCCGCTCTCCCAAGTCGGTCAGCAAGTAGGTGAGCAGTGTAGCTCCTGTGCAGCCATGGCTGTGGCGTAGATCTCGGCCTCACAACTGGAGCCGAGAACTGAAGACGAGCGTGTGGAACGCCAGGAAACTGAACCAGAACCAAGGCTGAAGTTGTAACCCTGTGACGACCGCTGAGTAGCCTGGTCGTCAACCCAATAGACGTCCGAGTGACCAGTGAGGACAACGTCATCCCGTCATCCAAGCATGAGCCCCATGCCCGATGTACTGCACAAGTAGCGCAGTACCCTCTTAGCAGCATCCATGTGCACCTTTCGGTGCCGACCAGGAGCCACGTAGCGAGCCAGAAGGCCAAGAGGGTACGCAAGGTCAGGACGAGTGCAGGCCATCAGGTACATGAGGCAGCCCACTAGCTCTGGGTAAGGACCAATCGGCTCTACGGACTCGTCCGAAGGTGGAGCTGAGAGCGAGTGACCTGTAGCCAGAGGAGTGGCCTGTGCGGAGGACCAGGTGAAGCCGAAGCGCTGAAGGACCTGTGGCACCATGTGGGACTGAGTCAGTGTAATGGTGCGGCGTGCTCTGTCCCGGGTGATCTGCAAGCCAAGGTAGCTGCGTAGTTCACCCAGGTCTGTGCACGTGTGTCTCTTCTACAGCTCCGACTTCACTAGGGCGAGAGCCTCAGTGTCACCAGTGGCAAAGACCAAGTCGTCGACGTACACGAGAATGTAGAACGGCGACAGCGAAGTGTCGGTGCGCAGAAACAGCGACGGGCCAGCAGTTGACGTGGCAAACCCAAGAGCGGCATCCGGGTCTCCCTCAGGGGCAAGCAGCATGGGCACGAGATGAGGCGCAGCGGCTGCAAGTCACTCAAGGTCCTCCTACTTGTCCTCAAGGACGTTCGTGCCAAGAGCACACTCTCCCCCGACGGACGGAGGACAGACAGACTCAGACTTAGTAACAAGACTAGCGACGTAGTCTAGACGACAGGCAGTAGCAAAGTCAATAAGCTCAGCGACTAAGGCAGAGACAGCAGCAGACTCAAACGACGAGTCGGCGACAACAGTGGCTAGCAGACGCGTGACGGTAGGGTGCTCAGTACGAAACCGGTCAGACTCAGGGTCAGCAACGACAGGTAGAGAGGACGCACGTGGGGACGGCAGAGGAACACTCTGCGGAGGAGAGGATGGTCGACGGACTACAAGGGAAGGGCCGGGGACAGCCGGCTGACGCTAACGAGGAACACGACGACTGGAACGACCAGAACGGACAGGTGATACAGGACGCGATGCAGGCTCACGACGCTCAGTAAGGCCCCCAGTCTGCTCAGCGTAAGGAGAAGGAGCAGGCAGAGGTGAGCCAGGCTGTAACGGAAGACCAGTAGACGACGGGAGGCTAAGAACCTGGCGAAGCACGGAGTCAGGCGGTGGCAGAGAGGACGAAGATGGCGGAGCAAAGAACAGGCGCGGCTGTGCAGTGTCACCAGCACCAGTAGCTCCAGCACCCTCAGCAGCTCCTGCACCTCCAGCAGCTCCAGCACCCTCAGCAGCTCCAGCACCTCCAGTAGGTCCAGTACCCTTAGCAGCTCCAGTACCTCCAGCAGCTCCAGCGCCTCCAGCAGCTCCAGTACCTCCAGCAGCTCCAGCACCCCCTGCAGCTCCAGCCCCTCCTGGTGCAGCACCCCCAGAACCGGCACCCCCAGTCCTAGGGTCTCCAACCGCAGTGCCACCAGCAGCAGTACCCTCAGACACACCACCGCCCGCCCCAGCAGCTCCAGTACCCCCAGTACAAGCACCTCCGGGACCAGCGACACAAGCACCTCCGGGACCAGCGACACAAGCACCTCCAGCAGGCAAAGGACCAGCACCACTCCCAGCTCTAGTGACGCCAGCAGAAGAACCCCCAGCAGTAGAGCCCTGAGGTGCAGAAGCGCGACGCTGATGGCGACCGTACCAGTCGTGCAGCTGCTGGGAGGTGAGAGGCACACGCGGACGAAGACGGCTACTCCAAGGAGACCGCGTAACAGCAGTCTCAGAACCCTCAGGCGACTCACCCCCAGATCCAGCACCCCCAGGCTCCGCACACGGAGGCGCAGTACCCCCAGACGCATCACCCCCAGGCTTAGGACCTCCAGGCTCCTCACGTGCAGGCTCAGCACCTCCAGGTTCCGCACCCTCAGGCTCCTCACGCTCAGCACCCCCAGACTCAGCACCCCCACGCTGCGCACCCCGAAGCTCCGCACCCCAAGGGACAGCACCACTCCCAGCAGAACCGGAGTCACCAGTGACCTCAACAGGCGCAGGGACGGGAGGATCTACCTGAGAAACACCTGAAGGAGCAGGGCCTGGCGTAGGGAGGGGATCTACCTGGGGAGGACCTGGGGCAAGAAAGAGCAGCGGGAGGGGGCGAGGAGCAGTGGGTAGGGGAAGAGGCGGTAAAAGGGGACCGACTCGTCAAAGGTGACGTCCTGAGACGCAAAGACACGGCGCGAGGCGGGGTCGTAAAACTGCCAGCCAGGCGCGTCAGGGACAAAGCCAAGGAAGACGCAAGGAATGGCGCGAGGGGAGAGTTTGTCCGTAGTGGTATCGCGGACAAAGGCATGGGCACCCCAGACCCGGAAACGCGACGCGTCGCCAACCTTCCCTGTCCACAGCAGTGTGGGCGAGGTCTCCGGCAAGGAGACACGGGGCCAGAGGTTGAGCTGATGCGCGGCGTACCAGACCGCAAACGGCCACAGAAAATGGGGGGCAGCCGCATGGATCATGGAGGTACGAGCGACCTCCATGACCAAGCCAATGCGGCGCTCAGCAACCCCATTCTGCTGCGGAGAGGCCGGAAGCGTGAAAGTCTGACGGATGTTCTTTTCTGCTGCGAGGAGGTGCTTCTCGAAGTCGTCGACAGTGAGAGTGGGGGGGTCTAGCGCGAGGAAGTGGTCCCTGACTGAGCTAAGAGTGTCAGGGAGGCGGGTGACGAAGAAATAGAGAGTGAAGTACATCGGTGGGGGGTTAGCGGCACGGACTTCGGCTGAAAGGGCGGCACGAAAGCGAGTGTCAGTAGCGCGCAGGTGGGAAATGAGGTCCTCAGCAGTGGTGAACGAGGAAAGGTCGGGGAACAGGTAGGGTAGCATGAGCCGACCTATGGCTGCAGTGGCCGGGGAGGAGTAGCGCGCAACTACGGCGTCGTAAAGCTTCTTAGCAGTTTTGTGCTGGCTGAAATGTGCGCGCTCACTAATCGGAAGATGGTTCCAAATAGCTAGGCGTGCAGGCGCATCACGAGTTTGCCATTGCGAGCGTTCGAGAGCAGGAGCATCGGCAGCAGGAGCAACGGCAGTGCCAGACACGTAATCGAACAGTGAAACGCCCTCTTTGGCATCGGTCAGAAGGAACAGTTGGAGATCATCTAACCACACAGTGAACTCTATGGGCTGACCGCCAGGCTCGAACGCGAGAACGTTAGGCGTCGTCATAATGGCAGTAGGCAGAGGCAGGAGGCAGCAGACAAGAGGCAGCAGGCACCAGGCCACAAGCAAAGACCAAGGTAGCAGGCAGCAGGCAGGAGACAGCAGGCAGCAGGCAGGAGACAGCAGGCAGTTAGGTGGGCCCGATTCTTAGGTCCTAGAGACCTCCTGCTCTAGTTACCATGTTAAGAACTAAGGCAAGAGTGAGTGGATTAGGTAGAGATTAGGGTACAAGACTAAAGTGTCGAGGTTGTTTTTGTACCCTCTTAGGCTAACCCCACTACAGCCTACCCAATTATAATCATACAAGTATGTTTGACACGCCCACGCTTCTCCCCACCGTTGCCCACGCTTCTCCCCACTGTCGCCCACGCTTCTCCCCACTGTTGCCCACGCTTCCTCCCACCGTCGCCCACGCTTCCTCCCACCGTCGCCCACGCTTCTCCCCACCGTCGCCCACGCTTCTCCCCACCGTCGCCCACGCTTCTCCCCACCGTCGCCCACGCTTCTCCCCACCGTCGCCCATGCTTCCCCCCACCGTCGCCCACGCTTCTCCCCACTGTCGCCCACGCTTCCTCCCACCGTTGCCCACGCTTCTCCCCACCGTCGCCCACGCTTCTCCCCACCGTCGCCCACGCTTCTCCCCACCATCGCCCACGCTTCTCCCCACCGTCGCCCACGCTTCCCCCCACCGTCGCCCACGCTTCCCCCCACCGTCGCCCACGCTTCTCCCCACCGTCGCCCACGCTTCGTCCCACCGTCGCCCACGCTTCCCCCCACCGTCGCCCACGCTTCCCCCCACCGTCGCCCACGGTTCCTCTCACCGACACCCACGCTTCCCCCCACCGTCGCCCACGCTTCCCCCCATCGTCGCCCACGCTTCCCCTCCCATCGTCCTCCCTGTCGCTTGGAAATTTCCTTCCCCGCCGACCTCCCTTCCCTCTCAACTCTCTCCTCGCTTCTCCACTCTCGCCGCCCACCCTTTCATCCGTGCCTATCGTCTTTAGGTTCCTCGTTGCTTCCCTTCCCATTGCCGCATTTGGTCGCTCTCGCTCTCCCCATTGCCACCTTCTCTACTCCTTCCACCCCACCCTTGCACACTCCTTTCCTTCTCTCTCATTCTCCCTCCCCCCCTGCCTCTCACCCACCCTGGCCGCGGACGTATGGCTGGCCGGTCTCGAGCGTTGGGGATGGGGTCGTGACTCGTTCGCGGTGGGATGTGGGAGGGTGCGTGGTCAGCAGCACCCACCATTCTCTCTCTTGCACCAACCCCGCACGCATGGCAGGTGCTCCTGCGGCTTTGGAGCAGAGCGCAGGGCGCACAGCTGTAGCAGCGCGTGCAGTCGGGCAGCAAGGAGCGCAGTGCTGCAGGGGGTACGGCAAGGGGGCGGGGGAGGCGGGGCAGGGGATGCGGGGCTGCGCGGGGCAGGGGAGGCAGAGGGGAGGGAGAGAGGGTCCAGGGATCCTCCTATCCCCCGTTCCACCCTTATACCCTGCCCTCCTCCCTTACCCGGTTCGTTCGTTCCCCCACAGTCGTCCTCCCCTCCCTTCTCCGTTGTAAAGGCACCGCTGCAGGTGGACGGGGTGACATGGCACGTGACGCGGGAATGGATGGGCTACCCGCATGTGATGTGCATACTCCCTTCCGCACATACTCCCTTCCTCACATCCTACTATCCTCACATCTCCCTTCCTCTCATCCTCCCTACCTCTCATCCCCCCTTCCTCTCATCCTCCCTACCTCTCATCCCCCCTTCCTCTCATCCTCCCTTCCTCACATCGCCCTTCCTCTCATCCTCCCTACCTCTCATCCCCCCTTCCTCTCATTCTCCCTTCCTATCGTCTTCCCTCCCTCTCGTCCGCCCTTCCTCTCATCCTCCCTTTCTCTCATCCTCCCTTCCTCTCATCCTCCCTTCCTCTCATCTTCCCTTCCTCTCATCCTCTTGCCCTCTCATCCTCCCTTCCTCTCATCCTCCCTTTCTCTCATCCTCCCGTCCCCTCATCCTCCCTTCCTCTCATCCTCCCTTCCTCTCATCCTCCCTTTCTCTCATCCTCCCTTTTTCTCATCCTCCCTTCCTCTCATTCTCCCTTCCTCTCATCCTCCCTGTTGGGCTGAGGATTTCAGCCTTAGGATCTTTGCAGAGAATAGGCTAGTAGGTGCTAGAGTAGCACAGCGGAAGTCTTTTGAGTGAATGTACTTGTGCTGGTATGTGAGAACAAGTAATTGATTGAAGCAAAGAGCATACAGGAATATATAGAAAATATAGATTACAGGAAGCGGTTATGTTTATCGAGACGCGTAACGCTTCGACTATCGAGGCGGTTACTGTTCACTGAAGCGTCGCCTGCTGTTGCGTAACCTCCAGGCGGTTACGGCTCGCAACTTCCAGTTGCGGTTTGATGTGGTACGCGCCTTTTTCGACTTCATACTCCTTTTGTTGTGCTTCAGTATCGGGTGAGGTTCGATACTACAGAAACGCACTAAGTCATGCGTTTATATTCCCAACACTCCCCTTCGTTTCTGGAGTGTCGACGTGGTCAGCCTCGGTGACGTGGCCCGATCCGGTGAGCAGCATGCAGTACTCGAATTTCCCCTTTGGTAGCCTCTTGGTGAGATAATCTGCTCCCATCTCGGTGGTCGGGTAGTAGTCCAGCTGGAGTTTTCCCTTCTCAATTTCGTCTTTCACGAAGAAGTATCGCAGTGCGATATGCTTGGTTCTGTTGGCGAAGCCATTCTTGTTCGCGATTCGTATCGCGGACTGGTTGTCGCAGAAAAGCGAGAAGTTGGGTACTTTCGCAATTTTTGCTTCTTCCAGCAGTTCGCGCAGGTACAGACCTTCCTTGGTAGCGGTGCAGAGAGCAATATACTCTGCTTTAGCAGATGATAGTGCGACGAGTTCCTGCTTACTTGATTGCCAGGAGATAGTTCCGACGGGCTCGAGACGGTAGATGTAGCCAGTGCGAGAGCGACGATCGACACGATCAGCAGCATGATCAGCGTCGACGTAGCCGAGTAGTTTTAGGTCGGTCGTCGTGCTCTTGTGATACGTTAAGCCAACTTTTGGCGTCGAGATGAAGTAGAGAAGGGCACGGTTGAGTTCCTTGAGGTGACGTTGTTCTGGGCGCTTGAGGTAGGTCGCTAGTTGACTGGCGCTGTAGGATAAGTCCGGTCGGCACGTAACGGCGGCAAAGAGTAGGCAGCCCAGTTTCTGTTGATATTCCTGGATTCCAGCAGACGGCAGTGGGTTGGTTTCTTCGGTTGGATCGAGCGATAGGTGACTGTAGGGTGTTGCGACGTGCGTCGGTGTGATGCAGAAGCGTTCGGCGATAGTGCTTGCGTATTTTGAGGCGCTGAGACGAATGGCGTTGTCTTCGTCGAGGATGTTGAGCCCTAGGTACTGCGTGACGTTGGGTGAGACTGTGAGGGAGAGATCAGTCTGAAGCTCCCTTTCGAACCAGGTGACGATGGTGGTAGTTGACCCGATGTAAAGTAAATCGTCGACGTAGACGATTAGCAGGACGTAGTCGTTGTCGTGAGTGAGGCGATACATGCCCTGGTCATGGGGCAGTTGGTTGAATCCGATGCGTTTAAGTCGTGCGTGCAGGTACTGCTGCTAGAGTCGCGGTGCCTGCTTAATTCCGTATAGTGATTTAAGTAGTTGGCAGACGAGGGAAGGGTCGTCAACGAACCCGTGGGGCTGTTCGACGAAGATTTCAGCGTCGACTGGGGCGTACAGAAAAGCGTTGGCGACGTCGATTTGTCGGAGTGGGCGGCGACGTGAGGCGGCGATGGCGAGGAGTATACGCAGGGAAGTATGTCGACTGACTGGTGCAAAAGTTTCAGTGAAGTCGCGACCATACTCTTGGTCGAATCCGCGGACGACCCATCGAGCTTTAAATCGTTCGATGGTTCCGTCGGAGTTGGTTTTGATCCGGAATACCCATTTTCCGGAGAGAATGGGTCTGTCTTGTGCGAGTGATGCAGGGACGATCTTCCAGGTGTTGCGGTCTGAAAGCGCTTTTAACTCCTTTTCCATGGCTTCGCGCCATTTTTCTTTGTGTTCCCCCCCCAGAGCCTGCTTGACAGAGCGAGGCTCTTCAGGTGGCGACGAAGGCCCGTGCACTGCAGCGACGAGTCCCAGGACTTGGAGTCCGCTGGGGGTGTGACGGTTCAGCAAGGGATCCTCGGGATAGACTGCTTCGTCTCCCGCTTCAGGATCAGGTGCGAATCAGGGGCCGTATCGTTCAGAGATGTCGGTGTTGACGGGTTGGGGTGTTACGTAACCAGTGTCGGCGAAATGGTAGTAGACGTCGGCATTGTTGCTGTCGCGAGGATTTTCCTCGTCCATGGGGATTGGGACGGAGCAGTAGGGAAGGGGTCCAGCAGCTTCGGAGGCGCCGTCGACGTTTTCTTCTTCCCAGTCAGCAGCGTCGGAGGGTGAAGCGAAGGCTCGGGAACCAGAAAATCCGCCGGTGGGGTCGACGTGGCGTGCGATGTTGTCCAGGTAATGGTTGAGGGTGAGTCGCTCGTAGAAGATAACGTCACGTGCTGCTACTATTTCCTTTGTGTGGACGTCGAAGATTCGACAGGCTTCGTAATGTTTTGCCAGCCCGAGGTGTAGACCCCACTGTGCACGTTGCGAAAATCTCCCTGCGCGTGCAGTGTGTGGGCGGTACTGTACCATACACCCAAAAAATCTTAACATTTTTGTGTTGCCCAGCTTCCCAGTCCACAACAGGTGCGGAGATGCGTTGTTGGGCAGTGAAGACGAGGACAGCAAGTTGTGCAGGAGGACAGCATGGTCCATCGCTGCTGGCCATTCTGAGTTGGGCAGTCGAGTTCCACGTAGCAGCTTTCGCATGGTTGTCTGCAGGGTCCTGTTCATCCTTTCTGCCACACCCTGCTGTTGGTGAGCGTAAAGGAGAGAGATGAGGCGTTTGATGCCTCTTTCTGCCAAGAACTGCGTGAAGTGGTTTGACTGGTACTCCTTTGCGCCATCTGACTGAAAACTCTTCAGTTTCGCTCCCGACTCTCTTTCAGCGACAGATAGCCAGGCTGTGAAGGCTTCTAGAGCCATGTCTCGTGACGGTAAGTTTACATGCCAGACATATCGCGTTGCGGCGTCGATGAAGGTGATGACGTAGTTCAGATCTTCACGTCCTTCAGTTCGAGGTATGTAGAGGATGTCTGTTGGTGCAACCCTACGGTTTGCACTCGGCTTGTTGTCCGTGTGCGTGCATGTGTGTGTGTATGGAATGGTATGAGGGCATGGGATAATATATATTTCATGCTTGTAATTGTGTGTGAATGTTGAGTCTTGATGTTGAGTGTGTGTGTCGAGTCAATAGCGAGTTATCGCTAGACGCGTGTTACGCGGTCGTTTGTGTCTCGCGCGCGGTTTCTATTTTTGTCGTGCGCGGTTTCTACTTTGTCCTGTGTCGAACGTTCGGTGTGTCGCAGGTGTGTGCAGCAGACCCATCAAGAACTCAAGGATGAGTTTGTGATGAAGAGCCCGAGCCTTGGTGTCAAGCCTCAAGTGATTTCGAAGCTCGCCAAAAGGGTACACCTCAAGATATTGAAGATAGTTACATTACTTTGTGTAGTGTAACATTTCACTTGGTGTAGGCCCTAGTGAAGGGTAGTTTCGAGACCCTTCGTGGTTGGGGACAGTGTGGCACTGTTCCACATCACTGTACCTCGGCTCTTGGGGTTTGTAGGAGCTGGGAGTCATTCCCAACTCGTAACTCTTCATATCTCTTCCTATTTTGTGTTCTAAGACTATAGTGGCTGCCATAGTGCCGTTCGTTCAAACAGACACTGTGTCGTCAATTCTTGGTGAAATTGTGCGATCTAAATTGCCTATTGTAGGCGACGTTCAGACGCTCCAGATCCAAGTTGAATTAGGTTATTTGAAGTTGTGACCAGAACGCTATAAACGTTTGAAGCCGCTGTGCTGAAATCCGACTGTGCACTCTATCTTTCGTTTTAGGCACATTGGAGCCTATTGTGACTATAACAATGTCGCTGTAGACTTTCTCGAGTGGTTGATAAACGGGGGCGCTCGGGTTGTGATGTGACGGGAATGGTTGGTGAGGCAGATCTGCTTCCGCGCAGATGAAGCAAGTGCCGCGTGGTCGTTCGAGTTCACGTCCGTTGGGAAGAAGTAGGGCGTTATTGTTTAACACTCCGGCTCGTATTGTGTTGTAAAGTGTTTTGTTTCCAGGATGTCCAAGACGTTGATGCCAGATGTCTTCGGAGGCGCTGTGACCGACGGAGTGTTGATAGAAGTCTGCGTTAGCGAAAAAGGCGGCATGTGTTGCTGCACTTCGATGAACGGCGCGTGGTGCTGGCGTTAACTGTTGGGCGGCTGTTGGTGGCGTGTCGATGATGAGAGGTGGTGGTGCGACGGAGGGACCGGGCTGTGGAGTTTCGGAAGGTTGTTCCGTGACGACGGTTGGTTCTTCAACTGCAGGTTCGGTGGTTGTTGGTGCTGTGACGGGTGCAGTTGTTGTTTCGATGACGGGTGCTGACTCAGGTGTTGTTGCTTGTGTTTGCAGGACGGCAAGCGCGTTGGTGCGTTCAGCTTCGGGAATGGTACGAGAGTACCAGAAGCCTTCAGGACTGAAGTTCGGGTCGAGGTCTGGCGGATGCGTCCAAGGTGCAAGAGCGACTATGCCGTCGCTGTCTGCGGTGCCTTTGTCGAGGACGAAATCGAGGACGAACACGTCATCTTGTTGGATTGCGCGGCCGATGAAGACCCCCCCTTTTCCGTGGTAAAGACAGATTTCCAGGGCGTCGGAGTCGCACTCCAGGTGAACGCCTTTCGACATGAGTTGGCTGACGCTCAGTAAGTTGAAGTCGAGGTTGTCGACGACGAGTACTTTGTTTAGTTGAAGGATAACGTTTGTTTCGTTTGACTGAAGCTCCACGACTCCTTGTTTGTTGGTGCGCAGGTTTTCATTGTTGGCGATGGTGATGATGACGTCTCGCGGAAGACGTCGTTTGCGCTGAAGAAATCGTGATGAAGAGCACATGTGATGACCGCAACAGCTGTCGAGGAACCATGTGTCTGGTCCGGTGGGTGCACTGTTCGCGATGGCGGCGTACGTTGGATTCACGTTAAGGGACGACGGTGGTGGTGACGGTTGCTCAT